CCCCCCCCCCCAAAAAAAAAAGATGCCGGCCTCCACCCCCTCCAGGTGTGGATTTGACAAGCAAAGCCAATTTAAGGCGACTCTAGGATGCCAGGGATGCCTTTGGGTTTACCAGGGGAACCCAAGCCCTCGAAATTCTTAGGGTCCTTTATAACATCCCTGTATAGACAATTAGGGAACCCCAAGAATTTCCAGGGTTTGGGTTACCTTGGTAGGGTTTAGCGTTTAAACTCGTCACAAGACGCTCCGGGCAGGAGCATTCCGAGCCACCCAGCGTATCCCAGCCTGAAATCAGGTGTGTGGGGGAGAATATGATCCCCAACAGACAGTAAGATCATATCCTCCTTCCGGGTATAATTTTCGATAAGATAGAAGGTACCAGGATACCCAACTTTATGTCTAGTATCTTCTGTATATACAAAATTAGATACCCGAAAAAAGGGGTAGGGATTTGGGTCTAGGTATTGCACTTGGTGCAACGATCATAAGCCACTTTCTCAGGTCTGGCTGCAGTCGTCTTCTACTACTTCGTGTTCCTCAACTGCCCATGATTAGGGGTTTCCAAAAATTGGGGGTACCTTTATTATGGGGTCCCGATAACAAGGACTGTAGTATTTTGGAGGTCTATATTGGGGTCCCCTCATTTGAGGAAACTACTTTATTGGTGCACACCTGCTTGAGATCGACCATTTGCGTGGCTGTACGATCGTATCCATGTTCTCCTACGTAACCTCAAACCAGAGGCTCCAAACCCAGCCCTAAACCCTAAACCGTGTGGTTCGGGTTGTGGTGCCTCTCGATGATGCACTTGCTACAGGATGATCTATGCTCGCTATACGTGTGAGTTTCCGAAAGATTAAAGGTCCTTTTTCGTGGGGCGAGGATCCTATGGGTGTAGGGTTTAGGGCTGTTTGTCGTGAAGCTGGAGGTTTCCAGGTAGCATCGTAAACCCCTGAAGAAGCTGCAACGACCACAGTCAACCTCTCTCCACAAGGTGGTTGATATCCAGAATGCTCATAAAATGCTGTCATTTCAGGGTTGGTATTTTGAAAATTGAGCAGGTAACTGCTAAATCTTGAGGACTATACAAGGTATGGTACTCCACATGTCTATGGTTGAATCCTTACGGTGATGGACGTGGATCCTAGATGAATCTCAAGTAGCCCAAGCGGGTGGCACTGGTTATTATGGCCCTGAAGCCCCCCAAACCCTAAACCCTAAAATCCCTAAACCAAGTCCCTTTTCCAGGAGATTCCGAGCCTGCATAAAAGCCAAACCTGGCCCATCTTGCAAAATTGTGTAAGGTTTTAAGTCTGGGCCCTTAGGCCTTTCGGTGGGATTCTAGGAACCCTTAAGGGGTACATGAAGGGTATATAGTAGGTATATAAGGATCCCAGAGTTAAGGGCCCATACTAGGGGTTCATGGTTTCAACCTTAATGTCATCTCTTGACTCCACGAACAAGAGTACGACCACCCCCCGGCTGGTGTAGTACCCTTTTCCCCTTTCATTTTGTGTGTGTTTTTATTAGTAAAGTTGAACATCAGGAAAAAAGAGTACCTTCCGTATTGAGGGGTTCCTGGAGAACCTAGGGGAGTAGAACATGATACTGCGAAGTATGAGCTAAATATTTGGATGTTGGAATGTTTCGTAACAGGGGCAGGAATTAGGCAGAGGACCCTAGGAGGCAGAACGTGCGCATGGAAGAGAACGTGTGCAGGGAAGACAAGGAAATGCGAAGCTCTCTCTCCTAATGTTAGGAATATCTCTTGTACCACCTTCAGACTAGAACGGAGAGCGATGGCAAGAATCAGTACAACCTGAGCCCCACAGTAGGTAAAATAGTAGCCCAAAACACCTAAATAGCCCCAAACGCCATTCTTCTACATACTTTTGTGGTGCTGGACGTTGGTTTTTCCACCACAAGAAGGCTCCCACCCTAATGTGGCATCCACGCGGTTTTGGGTTTAGTCAGCATTTAGGGGTTTAGGGGTTTAGGGTTCAAGCATAGAGGATTCTCACCCTGATGTTCAGCAGCCATAGCCCAGGGTAAAGTACAGCCTCCAGGTGAGCAGATGACAATACCCCAAACCTCAAGCCCATGAATCCTCAAAATCCAGAGACCTAAATGGGGGTTTCCGAAAATTAGGGGTACCTTATTGGGGGTCCCCATAATAAGGATTATAGTATCTTGGGTCTATATTAGGGTCCCCGTATTTTCGGAAACTACCAAATCCTGAATGAGGAACATGCCCAGCACCCAGCCCTAAACCCTAAATGATAAAGATCCTCAACCCCTAAATGATAAACATCACCAACCCCAAGCCCTGAAGGAAATAACAGATCAATGCAACCCCAAGCCCTAAGATCCTAAATGATAAAACCCACAACCCCAAACCCAAAATGACTCTGACGTAGAAGCCCACATAGCTGCCAACATCATGGCCCCCCTGAACCAACAAACGCGGTTTAAGGTTTAGAGTTCAGGGGTTTACGGTTTAGGGGCTTAGGGTGTAGGGTTTAAGGGCCCCAAACACTAAACCCTAAACCGTAGGGTCAAGTACTTGGACCTAAACCCTGAGCTTTCAGTAAGCACCACAGGTGTTCTTCGAGCTCTGCGTACAAGGCAGGGTTCCCTTCGTTGGGCGCCCAGGAACTATCGGTTTGGAGCTGGGGGCTGCATTTTAAGTGTTTTTCAGTTTATAGCAGGCTTAGGCTTAAGGCTTAAGGTTCAGGTTTAAGGCTTTAGGTTTAAGGTGTAGGGTTCAGAGCGTAGGGTTTGCAGCTCGGTGTTTAGGATGTTGGGTTGCAAGATTACGGGCTTGTGTTGCGGGTTGTGCGTTTCGGGTAGGGGTTTAGGGTTTAGGGTTTCCGGTTTGCAGGGTTTGGCCTTTAAGATGTTGACGGTTTAGGGTTTAGGGTTGAGGGTCTAAGGTTTAGGGTTTAGGGTTTGGGGTTTAGGGCTCGAGCAAGTTAGTTACCTCCTCAGGTCGATAACACGGCGCCCTTGCCCTCAGCCAGGCCCTTGATTTGATGGCCCCAATGACCACTCCGTGACAGACAAACCCAAAGGGATGTGAGTAGGTTTGTACTGGGGATTTACAGTCCTTCATACAAGGTACGCCTGTATTCTCTTTTTGGATACAAAATTTCTGAAGGCTGGAATAATCTAATTTTGTTCAGCCACCGAGAAAATACTGTTCATGTGCGGTATGGTATGGAGTAGAGGGTGCAAAGCTAAACTTACGACGCGACGTCTCTCTCTCTCTCTCTCTCTTTCTCTCTGTTGTTGTTTTCTTCGTTTTCTTTCTCTGTCTGAAGCAACGCAGTTATGTAACACCCTGAATAATACCAAAGTTGTTCGCTCGTAAACCTTACGCAGTTGTGGTATAGCCCATTCTCACTCTTTGCGGCGCACCTGTGTGCAAAAGGCCTTATTTGGGACCTTGGCTTCGCAACTTTTTCCTAGTCTCTTACCCTCAACACCAAGGGGGTGTGGGGGGGGGGGTTCCAAACATGAGGTGCCCCATTTTGGGAGTCCCTCGGTATTTTGTGGATGGAATTAGGTGTTCGGGGCTTATGGGTGTGTTGTCCTGCTTGTGTGCCCACTACTGTGAGAGCCTAAATAATGGCTAGTCAAATGCAAATCAAAAGGACTTGACAACCGGTCTTGTATGGTGGGTTGTAGGGATTGTTGGGTTATTGGGTTCTGCCACGAGATACCATCTTGAACCGCGCTCTGGCCACAGCTTTACTGCATCAGGGGTAGCTGTTCATTGCGTACTTGGAGCTAACAGTCCGACATACCATAACAGTAGCAGGCATAGCATTGGCAACAGTAATAGTTCCAGTAAAGGTACGGGTAATAGTCATAGTGATGGTAATGCTGTAACCTGCAAAAGTATTAGGCTTAGCAGTACCTTCAATACCCAAGCATTGAGGAAAGTTCCAGACCTAGGCCGCGGAAAGCATCATGTCCATCCTGCTCCATGTGAGCCTGCTCAGCGGCAAAGCCGTTTCTATTGAAATTGGATTGGATGCTGATGTTGAGGAGTTCAGGCAACATGCACAGAAGGCCCTGTCAGTTGGCAGGGGTAGACTTTTTGACTCAAGCGGAAGAGTGCTAAGCGGAGCAAGGACCATCCGTGAATGTTGCCTGCAGACTGACGATGTCCTGACCCTGCAAGTACAGCCAGTGAGGATAGCGGCGGTTGATGGATTTGAGACCTTTGCGTTTGCTGCCATCCTGGGCGATGGATCCTTGGTTAGCTGGGGCAGATGTACTTGCAAGAGTGATGTGCAAAATCAGCTGCGCGATGTGCAGCAGATTCAGGCCTCTGCTGGGGCTTTTGCAGCGATCCTTGGCGACGGATCCGTGGTGACCTGGGGCCCCCGTGCTGACCTGGGTGGCAACAGCAGTGCTGTGCGAGATCAATTGAGGAATGTGCAGCGCATTCAAGCCTCTGCTGGGGCATTTGCAGCGATCCTTGCTGATGGATCCGTCGTGACCTGGGGTGACGCTGATGAGGGTGGCGACAGCAGTGCTGTGCGAGACCAGCTGCAGAATGTGCAGCAGATTCAAGCCTCTAATGCCGCTTTTGCAGCCATCCTTGCTGATGGATCCGTGGTGACCTGGGGCCATGCTGGCAATGGTGGCAACAGCAGTGCTGTGCGGGACGAGTTGCGGAATGTGCAGCAGATTCAAACCTGTACTTGGGCTTTTGCCGCTATCCTTGTCGATGGATCCGTGGTGACGTGGGGCGATGCCCACGATGGTGGTGACAGCAGTGCTGTGAGAGAAAAGCTGCGGAATGTGCTGCAGATTCAAGGCTGTTGTGGCGGGGCTTTTGCGGCCATCCTTGCTGATGGATCCGTGGTGACCTGGGGCGATTCTCGCTACGGTGGCGACAGCAGTGCTGTGCGAGACCAGCTGCGGAATGTGCAGCAAATTCAAGCCTCTGATGGGGCTTTTGCAGCCATCCTTGACGATGGATCCGCAGTGGCCTGGGGCTATGCTGGTGATGGTGGCGACAGCAGTGCTGTGCGAGACCAGCTGCGAGATGTGCAGCAGATTCAAGCCTCTAATGCCGCTTTTGCAGCCATCCTTGCTGATGGATCCGTGGTGACCTGGGGCGATGCTCGCTACGGTGGCGACAGCAGTGCTGTGCGAAACCAGTTGCGAAATGTGCAAGAGATTCAAGCCTCAGGTGTGGCTTTTGCAGCTATCACTGACGATGGATCCGTAGTGACCTGGGGCGATGTTCACGGTGGTGGTGACAGCAGTGCTGTGCGAGACCAGCTGCGAAACGTGCAGCAAATTCAAGGCTGTGGTGGCGGGGCTTTTGCGGCCATCCTTGCTGATGGATCCGTGGTGACCTGGGGCGATGCCCGCTACGGTGGCGACAGTAGTGCTGTGCGAGACCAGCTGCGGAACGTACATCAGAAACAAGTCTCCTAAGCATGGACAGTGCTACCCGAGACGGCAACTCATTTCTGCTCACCAAAATGGCCAGCAAGTGTGGTGGCTACAGGGTACGGGATGGATTGAGCGAGTGGGGATGTGTGATTCTATAGAAGCAGTCATCGCCAAAGGTGGCCGTTTACGTGTTGCATTGGCAGGAGCATTGTTTGAGCGAAGGAGCGATTCAGGATTGAAGTCTCTGCGTAACCATGCGGCTTTCTCCCGGTGACATGGAACACTCCGAAACGGCACCCTTGATCCGTTGGTCGGCATCTGGAATTTATGCGTCCCACAAGACTAGCTGAACAAATGTCAGACCTTTCAAAATATCCAGGAGATGTTGGTCCCATGACCTGTAAAGTTTGGGCAGTATGACTATCATATAACTGTACCAGGATTCTTCGTAAAGGGGTTGAGCTAACCCAAGCCCCCCTTTTTAGAAGAACACCACCAACCCCCCAAGGCAGCAGTCTCAACTTCCAAGCTACCTCAAACCGTATCCACTAGCCGCTAAAACCCTAAGACAACGTTTATGGGAACATAACCCAGAGGGTCCATGTACCCAATAATTAGGTACTTGGGATTTGGGTAATAGTAATCATAGTACAGGTTTTGGGTAAGTATATGAATATTAAGTACTTGGACCCTTAGGGTAAGGGCACCCCTATCACGGAAAACGCCAAATCTAAAAACTGTCAGCACTGCAGTGCTTATCCTGGCGGCACGCAACATCTACAATGAACTCCAATTTCAAAGTCTCAGATTACCTCAGAGCTAGGTTTACACGCACACGCTTGGGTAACCGAAAGTTCAGGTCCTTAGCCAACCCCGGCTGCAAAGCCATTCCCCGCTGTCTCGTCCATTGACCTTATCGCCTCAACGCCAAAAGCCTATTACCTAAAGAACCGAAACGAAGAGCCTAAAACCCTAACACACCCCAAACACTAGAGTAGTATTTTATTTTGGGATACGATGGTACCCATTATAGAGTAAGATTCTATCCTCCCTTTGGGGTATAGTACTTTATATAAGGAATACAGAGGATGGAGGAATCTAGCACCACTTAAGATCTCCAAAATACTTTAGTTATTAGGGTATAGGCTGTATTAGGCGATGCAAGATTTCCTCCATCCACAGTAGGACCTCAAAAACCTACGGACCTAAGCCCCCACATATTCCATTCTGAGGCCTAATGGCATGCTCCAACAGGCAGATTTCCTCATGCTTAGCCCTAGGTTCGGGGGTTGTTTAGGGTTTAGGCTTAGCATTAAGGAGGGTTTAGGGTGTAAGGTTTTTGATTTAGAGTTGAGGGTTCGGGGTTGCTGACTTAGGGTCTAGGGCGTAGGGCTTATGCTAGCGAATGAAGCGATGAAAAAGAAAAAGGTTTAGCGTTTTGGTTTAACGAGGTTTAGATGATTTAGGTTTAAGGGCTTGAGAGCTTAAGCTTCTGGATTGAGAGGAATTCTTGCAGCACATGGGCTCTTGGTTTAGGGTACAGTCTATACCATGGGAGACACCGCATTTTCGGCATCCGACGAGTTGCGAGTTCCCTCCTTTCACTCTACCCGAAGGCTCCTAGGGTTTGGGGGCTAAGGTTTGGGATCCGGAAATGAGGGTCCTAGAGTCTTAGGGTAGGGATGAGCGAAGTGGATTTTTCAAAGCAGCAGTTGCGATGTTTTGCTGAAATGCATGAAGCCCTTTTGAACGTGCGGCTTTCCTGTTCCATATCTTACGTCGTAAACCCTCAAATGATGGCTGGTCTTGGTAGCAGGCGGAATCCTGCTTATCCTGACTTGCTGTTAGTGAGTTTCTCCTAACTAACTGTTCTCAATTTACCATACTGTGGGTATATTCTTTTAGTAAACGACAGGGTTTCCATCGTATGGTAGCTTAATAAATACATTCCTTAACAGCGACCCAGCAAATGGATGGGGCGTATAAGCCCCTAAGCCCAGAACCCAAAACCCTAAGCCCCAAACCCCAACCCCTTGAATCGAAATGAACGTTCAGCTCTGATTGCCTCAATTCCTCCCTGCCACCTGCCCCTAAACCCCTCAGCCATTCAAACTCTAAAGCCTCCTAAACTCTAAGCCCTTATATCCTTCAACCCTAAACCCCTAAACCCTAGACCCCTAAACCCTAAACCCTGAACCCCTAAACCCTGAACCCTAAATCCTGGCTTCAGGCTACCTACTCTCCCCCAGGCTGGCCCAACCAAGGCAGTGGGCTCACCGCTTTAGGGGCTTAGGGGTTTAGGGATTTAGGGGTTTAGGGGTTTAAGGGTTAAGGGGTTGAGAATTTAGGGTTAGGGTCAGGGTTGAGGGGTTGAGGGTTAGGGTTTAGGGTTTGGGGGTTTAGGTTTTAGGGTGTAGGGTTGAGGGTGTAGCGTTTGGTGCGCAGGGTTCAGTTAGGGTGTAGAGTGTGGGGTTTAGGGTTTATAGGTTCTGGGGTTATGGCTTATGGTTTAGCAACTACTGGTGTACCCCTAGGTACGCTTGGTGGGATACATGGATATACAGTGATCATGAGGCTTAAGAATCAAGGGTTGGCAAGTTTAGGATTCTGGGCTTATTGCAATTTCTGGTGGTGGGGATACCTTGAAAGACTCTATGGATATGATGGAAATAAATACATTAGGTGGACCCTTCACCCTGTACTAGTGGCTAGAAGGGAGAGTAAGGATTGTAGTGAGTCTTCTTACATTCCTATTATACCACTATTGTAGGGTGGGGGATCCTCCTAAGAAGTACATTGGGTGATCTCCAGCTTTTAGACCGCTGCTTGGGGCTCGTAGGAATGATATAACTATTGTGCATGGTGTGGTGGGTTTCCTTCCATGTCTAATTTACTTCCTGCCGTTGCTGGGGACCTTCGGAATATCTACGATTTGGGAGGTTTGCTATCATCTTGCAGGTATTATTCACCCTGGTCCGAGTACGTAGACAGCGTGCCTACCTTCACACTGCTCCGAGTACGTAGACATTTCCACCTAGCTGGTTCAGGTACGAAGCACTAAAGCTGAGCATGTGGCATCATGCCTTGATTTTTTCTTGAAGGTTCAACGTAACTATCTCTCGAGCATCGCCATCCTTATAACTTAACCCTCTAGTTCCCAAAAGAATAATTCTAACCACGTGATAAGTACAAGTTCTCACTTGATTATAAGTACCGTGGATCACCCTAAACACTAGACCTTTAAACCCTGAACCCCAAACCCTAACCCTACCCTGAATCTCTTAAGTAGATGTAGGAAGGTTTGCGTCTGGTCACGTGGTGCCAAAGTGTTTTTTGACGGATGCTTGGGTTCCCCCGCAGAACCCGGTTAAGGATTTCAGGTTTTGGGCCTAGGATTTAGGGTCTAGGAGTTTAGCCCCAGCGTTGAAGTAAGAGCATGCAGCCACACTTGTTCACGCTCTCTGCTCCGGTGCGCAAACAGCTCTTTGTGGCACCTCCCAAAAAGAAACCAGTATTACATTGATCAAACAAAGGGTTTGTTAGGAAGTTTGATGTTCAGATTTTGGGGGGGTCTGGATTTGTACTTCTGGGCTTGCGGTGCCCTGCAGCGAGAATAAAAAGAACACTCTCCCACACCTACCGTGCAGGGTTGAGGGTTGTGGGTTTAGGGTATAGGGTTAGCAACACCAGCAGCAAGAAGAGCAACAGCATCATCATGATGGTCATCAACAGAAGCAAGAGCAACAATAGAAACAATAGCAACCACCAAAAAAAGAAACAGTAGCAACAATAGCAGCCACAGCAATAGAAACAATGGCAATAATAGCATCAATCTTAACAACAGCAACAGCAAGAGCAAAAAAAGCAAAAGCAGCAACAATAGCAACAATAGCAGCAGCACCTGCACCTGCACCAGCACCAGCACCAGCACCACCGGCACGGCCGCTGCCGCGACCGCCCCCACCACCACCGCCGCCACCGCTACCAGCAGCACCAGCACCAGCACCTGCACCAGCACCAGCACCGCCACCAGCACCGCCACCGCCACCGCCACCACCACCAGCATTAGCAAGAGCGGCTCTAGGACCAAACACTGCCAAGGGTAACGTGAAAGCCTGGAAATTTCCCACAAGTTTGTCCGATTTCCTTTGAATAACTATGGAAGGATGCCCTAAGCCGATCATCAGCCAAACATCAAACCCAGACCGCATGCCTCTGGTGATTTCTGCAGCTGTCCGTTAAGATTTAAGATTACGGACCACGAAAGGGATCATGGTCTTGACAACCTACCAAGTCTTACATCCCTCATTCCCATATGAGCTATAGTCTAGACTCTTTAAATGAGGGTCTTCTAGGGAAGCATTATAGGGAACATTGAGAGGGACAGATACCTAGGAGTTTAGACACCGGCCCATACAAACCGAAAGCACCTGCGAACAGCAGTGAAGGCCCCCTGGCCAGCGGCCTTCAAGCACCTCGCACATCGCAGCGGCCCCGGCAAAACTGGGCTTAGGGTTTTGCTGCTGCCGATGATTGCAAATTCTAGTCCCCAAGATTTGGATATCTGAAAGAACATGGTTTCCAAAATGATGGGTGTCGTGTTCTTGAGTTGCTGAACAGCAAGCGGGAGTTCGAGGGGACACGATTCCTAAGTGCCCTTTTGCTGGGCAATTGGAGTCCAGATAAAGTCCAGAGGCTTCTTTGCTTGTCAGGTTCAGAAGTGTCTTCACCATTTTTCTGGTAGGCAGGGGAAGTAAGTGTAAGAAGCCCCTCAGATAGCACCCCCGACAAAATTAACGTTTTTCTGTATTTTATGAGATACCACAATGGAAATCAATATAGGCTAGTATAGGGTGCTGTTGGACTTTAGCCTTAAACCCCAGGCTCTTCCAGGTTGATGGTTTCTGTTTTCTTGTTCCTTTCCCCTGCATACCCTATTTATCCCATGTATATGTGTACATATATACACATATCTAGTATACCTGTAGAGGAGGGGCAGTTTCATATATTGGGTGAGGGGATTCAACATAGACAGCTAGATAATCAGATGGCAAAGGAAAGGTAATTACTATATGATTGGCGTTAGTGTAATGATTCATGATTTCATTCCCGTGCACAGCCCTCAACCCCCAAACCCTAAACCCTAGGTGTACATGCCATGAACAAAAAAACCTACCAAAATTAGTGCTGAGTGTTTAGGGTTTCCCCTACGTAAGCCATTAGGCTAAGCCATTGACATGCAAGGCAAAGTTTCGGGCAAAGACCCGCCTCAGGCAGTTGCAGGACATGCATGGCTTGGAGATCAGGGTTAAGGTTTCGGGTTTAGAGTTCGGGGTTTAGGGTTCAGGAGTCTGGAGACTAGGCTTATAAGGTTTGGGGCTGAGGGTTTTGGATGTAGGGCTTCATTACAATTTCGGACAAGCCTGGGTTTGTATAAGAGGGTTCCGTTTGGAGACCCTGGGAATATATGGGAGTAACAGGAGAACTAGATGGGTTTTTGGGGGGGATGCGAAGCCCTAAACTCGCAACTGTAAATTCCAAATCCACACACCCTAACCTAAGCCCAGTGAACTATGCCAAGGTATGCCCAGCGCACCAGCTATGCGCAGGCTCCCAGCGGATTCCAACATATTCGCGGTTGCTCTTTGAGAAGAATAAATAGAGTTTCATGTTTAAGGTTCCACCATGCTTGAAAGGAAACCTTAAAGCGGCCGAATATCTTGGGAAACCAGTAACAGAGAAGGGCTCCCCAAGACATCCCTTATGCATCTCAATGGGCATCCTAAGGCCCCCTAAGGTCATATATATATATATACATATATATATATACATATATCGTCTTATATGCGGCCCCATGTATGTGGCCTTGCTAGGGTTTCCTTACTCCCCGTGTTGTTTTTTGAAAAGAATATTGCGAAGGGCACTAATATAGCCCGGCACTAATATAGCCCTTACCGAGACTCAAACATGGCAATTTTTCTAGTACCCGTACAGGGAATTCGTACATGATCCTGTAATCTCAAACTAGAGTGCAAAGCTAGCAACACCATTCACACTTGAGTTTCGGGCGTTCCTTCTTCATTGCAGTGTGCAGCTATTGAAAAACGAAAGCAAGTTACAGAAGCAGCCAGAAAGCTTTAGACATCTTCCCCAAAATTCTGAAGCTTGAACCCTGAACTGGTTTTCTGTTTAAGAAATATGTTGCATCCTTCTCGATAAAACTTACACCTGGTATAATACATCAAACATGGTCATGCAATGAAGTACTTAAGCGACATTTAAGTAAGGCCTAACCACCAAACCCTCTGCAATCTAACATGGAATTCCATGTGAGCTGTAGTCTAAACTCCTTAAGGGGGTATATAGGGCATGATATAGGGGCGTATAATAGTGGTTATTACAGGGGATACAAGGAGTTTATCCTATAGCTCATGTAAGAAAGGACGGAAGTGAGGTACCATGTTACCTTGTGGAAGGGTCAACGCTGCACTACCCTCACAAGCTCAAAACCCTGAACCCTAAGCCTTCCATGTACAAATCCCTAAGCCCCAAGCCCGACATGCACAACGCTAAGGCCTAAGCCCTACATGCACACCGCTAAGGCCTAAGCCCTAAACCCAAAGCCCTAAACCCTGAGTCCCAGACCCTAAGTCCTAAACCCTGAATCCCAGACCCTAAGCCAATTGAAATGCCACTTGCCAGGCTGGAGGGTTCCAGTCGCTTCGCCAGCCTGGAGGTGAATTTGTTGGTTGGGAAGTACAGGGCTTTATAGGATTTAGGGTTAGGGTCTAGCGTTCAGGGTTCAGGGTTGAGGGTTTAGGGTTTGGGGTTCAGATATTTGGGATTCAAGGGGTTGTTGGGTTGTTTACAGGGATTGGTGCTGTTTCGCGCTGCAAGCTTAGGGGAGTTAAGGGGTTAGGGTGCAGGGTTGAAGAAGTCAGGATTCCGAGATAAGTGTTCAGTCTTGTTCGGGAGCCGTTGTTGAACGACACGTTAGGCTTAGATTTAGACATGCATGCCAAAAGCCCCGCTTTGACAAAGAACGATAGTTTCAACTTTAAATACCTCAACCATATTCAAGAAGGCCGTCCTTTGAATTTCTTTGTTCAAGCCCGAGACCCTAAACCTGAACCCTAAACCCTAAACCGCTCTTTCAAAGAATCCGATGAACTACGTTGGATGGCCCAGATAACCTTCCGGTCTCGCGTGCGGAATTTGATGCTGATTGTAGTAGCGATCATATCTGGGACTATGCAGCAGCTAGTACACGTCCAGTTCGCAGCTAAGCAGCCCTAACCCTAAACCCTAAACTTTGAATCCTAAACCCTAAACCTTAAACGTTGGGTTTAGGGTTTAGGGATTTAGGGTTTAGGGTCCTAAACCCTAAACCCTGAACCCTTGGTGTCCTCTCTCCGTGCGAGCAGTGCCAGAGTCAGAGTTTTGGAAATCGCGGGCCTGAAGGAGAAGTTGCTTCCCAGGGATGAGAGGGGTGACCAGGAATTTGTACAGCTTAGGGTTTAGGGTTTAGGGTTTAGGGCAGTATATTCCCCTTGGAATTTTGCGCATAAGCAAAGATTCAGGATTGTATTTGCTGTTCACCATCCAGGAAAGGTAGTTCAAACCCTGAATCCTGTACAACTTCAGCTCCGCGCTAAAGCGCCAAGAGCCCAAGCCTTATTCCCTCAAGCCTGTGAAGACCTGTGAACTATAGTCCCCCTTAAGTAGATGGAATATGGGGTATATTGGGATCTTCATAATACACCCAAAGCCATATTCTATCTATTTACGGGGGACTATGAGACTAAGAATCTGCTGCCCCAAAGGTTGGACCCTAAACCCTTAACCCCAAACGCCTTTAAACTTCGCAGGCGGTTACGCGCAGTCCGGGTATGGGCAGCTGGAGCCTCAGGGTTACCTAGACCCCTTTTTGTTGCGCTACTTAAGTTTGTATAGATGATACTAGAGATACAGTTAGTTATCCTACAAAGGCGTAAGGTAGAGGGATTTGGGTAGGATGGCGTATATGCCAGATTAGGATTTAGGGTTTTGTGGCCTAGAATGAGCGGGGGGAGTAGTTTTACAACGCTCTGGCACTGTGATGTGATGTGTAGGGCCTATATAGGCAAAGTCTTCCGCCCAATGTTACATGTTACCACAAAAATTAGGTTTGGTCCTTCTAGGGTTTCTGAAGCTGAGGTCATCTTGGGTTGTCAACCCTAAGCCCTAAACCTGAAACCTTAAACACGTTCGCGAGGAGCTGTTAGGGCTTGGGGTTTTGGGTTGGTAGGTGTAAGCTATTCACACAAGGAGCTGTCTTCTTCGCTGTTCACCTTTGGGATCTTGAGTCCTACTCCCTTACCCAGGGCTCAGGGTCCAGGGTTTAGGGTTGAGGGAGAGCAACCCCACACCCAAGAGAAAGGTATAGATACCAAAGTAGTACCTAAACCTTAAAAGTATGTAAAATAATGGCCTTTATGGCTATTATCATGGGTTTAGGGCTATTATTTTACATACTTTTGGGGTCCAGGTAGGTGCAAAGTTTTTTTGGGAGAGGTGTACAGGTTGCTCAGGGAGAGGCCTAAGCCCCGCGTAGCGGCCCTGGGGAATCCCAGAGTCCCTGACAGGTTTAGGGCCTCCGTTTTCCATAATCCCCTTCTAATCCCTGTATAGCCCTAGTTTCCCGTTCATGCTCCTTTCCATTTTCCATTGGATGCTCCATCATAGCGTGCAGGCCTTTAAGCACAAACACAGGCCATGCCGCATAGGACCCTAAACCCCAAAATCTGAACCCTAAACGAAAACCCTGTGAAGGGCCCCTCAAGTGAAGGCTGGCAGAGATTACCGCAGTATTGAACTTGTAAACCGCGGCATTGCTTCAAGGACTGCGACCTAAGGTTTAGAGATTAGGGCGGAATCCTCACATGTTGAGTTGAGGTACGCCAATCCATACCAACGCGAGACCCAGCGACTTCTTTCTGTGAATGACCTGGCCTAGGCTTTGGCAAACGCACGGGTATACGCTGTACGGTTTAGGGGTTCAGGCGTTTATGGACTTAGCGAGAAACTCCGCGATGACTGCTGTACGGCTTGCCCCGCAGAGGTCTGAAAAGCACTGCAAGATAATTATTTCATCACCTGAATTGAGAAGATGAATCAAATTTCTGAAGTTGCCCCTACCTCCGCTTCTGTACCGGGCTGACCCTCACGCAATCCAAGCGGTCTTAGTTGGGGTAGGGCTTGCTCAATCGACAAATCTGCACAACTTCTGGGTGGAAATCATTGCTTACCACTTTGTAACCTAGAGCCTCCGTAGCTACTAAATTCCAAGCCCTAAAGACTAAACTGTCCTTGGGTTTCGTAATATGCCAACCTAAGTTGTTCGGACCGCCGCTGTTTGCCGCGACCTTCCGCCTTGCTAATGATGTCAGCTTGCAAAATTGCAAAAGCAACTGCCGGCAAAAAAGTGCTGAGCGCTTGCTACATCAGTTGCAAGAAGCAGCTTGGAGTTTAAGAGGTAGACTTTAGGGTTTAGAGTTTAGGGTTTTGGGTTTAAGGTTTAGGGTTTAAATTAGAGTTTAGGGTTTGGGGTTTAAGGTTTAGGGTTTAGAGTTTTGGGTTTTGGGCTTAGGGCCCTCAGCCCTAGAACTAAGGAGGCTTGGTTTTACAAAGTGAGGGCCGAATCAGCACCAGGTGAGGCGCTCGATGTTATCTTAAGTCTGGTGAGGAGGGGTAACGAGGGAATGGAAGAGAACACGGAAACTATGCGATTGTTGCAGATTATAGCGGGGTTGCAGTAAGGCTCCATTCTTTCAGTCCTTGCTATCTTTGCCTGGCTGCTTGCATTTGAGTTTCCTTGCCGCGAATCTAAAGGAAGCATTTATGGAGCAGAGCCCCGAAATGGGTAACTTGAGTCAAGTTCCTTAGCCCTAAGGGTCCAAGTACCTAATAATCATATACCTACCCAAAACCTGTACTATAATTACAATTATCCCAAACCCAAGTACCTAAATATTGGGTCCTTGGAACCTCTTGGTAGCCGCAACCCAACAGAGTCTCCTTTTGGCTATCTCGGCTCGTCTGGAACATCAAAGCTTTGCTGCTGGATGGGAGCGTTACCGCGTCGCGCTCGGCATTTTCTGGATTGTTGTCAAAGATCCCTAGTAGTTGGTGATGTACACTTCACACTTTTTTGGACCCGCTACAGTTCAGTACATGAAAAAGATGTGTAGACTTTATTCGGCCTAGGGAACTCAGCAACTGGGGACTAGGTTCTTGTTGAATAATAACATTTTACAAGTTTATGCTTATCTGGGCCCAATATAGCTGTAAAACGAAGATTTCTAATTGCACTTCAACAAGAACCCAGGGGAAGCTAGAACAAGTTTCCACTACAAGAAAGCCATATCCTCTCCTGTAAGTTCCTTTTCCGCAGCCCAGTTTCAAGGCTTTTGAACTTGGGAGTCAACCAGAACTTGCTAAGTGACTACCCTCTATTCTGAGTTTTCTTACGCATTGCCAGGGACCATGGAGAGCTCCCATTCAACTGCTTGTTTGGCCTCCGCATTTCAGGCTTAGGTTTCACGCGATTGGGGTGAGGTGTGAGACTCTTGTGTGTAGGGTTCCTAAAAGCCGGGCTTAGTTTCGGGCTCCGTATTCAGGATGGGGGCTGAAGGCTTCAGTAGCCCACGGGCGTGTTACAGTTTTTCCACGTCCTTCAGGCGGCCCCAAGGCATCCCTAACCCGACCCTCAAGTGCTTTAAAGTCGAGGAGAGCTGACGTGAGGCCATCATTACTGAAATTCCTATGACAGTCGCATAGTGCGAATTCTGGTACACCGATGGTTTACGTGGCTCGAAGTCTGCCTGAGTCATACCGACATGATGTTATGGTAGCTTCTCAAGCTACACCCTATCAGATTCCTGGTAGGATGCCAGTATGCCTTTCTAATCCCCGGGATATTTTCCTTGTTTCTGAACACTGTACATTTTTATAGCCCACTTGAATGAAGCCCTAAGCCCCAAAACCTGAACCCTGCACAGCCGCCTCGTATGAAGCTATACCCTAAACCCTGTATAGCCGAAACACTGAAGTTGCTCGTTTGCAGGCCAGGGCCCCTGAATCCTGGCCAGCGATGGCTGCAACTTGGCTGCGTAAGCTTGTTAGCCCAAAGGGGTCTACCCAAACAGTCCATTTTTCAAAGTCCTGGGATACCACAAGCTATAATTAGTCTCAATGGCTGTTAGTGCCCGGGATTCGATTGTTTGGGCGTTCGGAGCCCAAAGGTTTGTCAGCTGTACAATGATACTACATGCAGGTGTTCAAATGCGGGATGCAGGCCACGTGGAGTGCAGATGTTGTGGGGAAACCCTGCAAATCCCGATATAGAACTTTCCATTTCGACTCTTTGCAACCTTTTCCATTCCCACATACCCCCTATGAGTACCTTTTTTAAGAGACCCAAAGGTATGCGGCGGGGACCCTATGTCAATCCATTGTTCAATCAATACCTGCCAAGCCGCAAAGAGCAGGGTTCGCTACTCAGCCATTTGAACCACTGGGTTGCTCTGAAGGAAGGTTTAGTGTTCGGGGTTTAGGGGTTAGAGTTTAGGGAGTAGGGTTTGGGGATTAGGGTTCAGGTTTTAGGGATTAGGGTTCAGGAATTAAGGTTCAGGAATTAAGGTTCAGGGTTTAGGGTGAAGCTAAGACAAATTACCACAGTACGGATTCCATCATGTAATATGGTTGCATTACAAGAGCAACTTGGCTTAAGTTCCTCAACTGGCAGCCGCAAGAGCTTTCAGTCTCGCTCTTGAAGCCTGGAGAAGCATGTTTACTTCTGAAAACTATAGGTGGCCGTAATGATTCCTCATGTCTATCGTCTATCAGGGTCTGGACTTACATGCCCAATGCATAAAAAGCCCTGAGCCCTAAATATCCAGAAATCTTAGACCCTTTGCCCTCAAAACCCCACCCCCCCCAGTTCGCAGTGCGCGACGTCTGCAGTGGGTTGAACTGCCGATGGGGTGGGCGGGTGAATCCCCAAAGCCACCCTTGTAGGATGCCCTAAACCCTGCCTTATATAAATGATAATCCTTGCATTCGCTCCCCCAGTCTGACTACCAGCAGGGAGCCCGAATCCCTCCTGTAACCTTGATGTAAAACCTTAAATCCACCCTTCACCCCAAGCCCTACACCCTAAACAACAACCCAAACCTATCCCTAAGCCTTTAACCCTACACCCTAACCTCTGAATCCCTGAATCATGCCTTGAAGCCTACACCCTAACCTATTGGGTTTAAGTTTAGATCCCCAAAATGACGGCAGGAGCAGCGTGCGGCCGACGACCTCTACCGGAAGACTCTGCGCTTCCTCGTGTCGGCTCGGAACCTCAGTTCTGGTTTAGAGTTTAGGGTTTCGAGTTTAGGGTCTACGGGGTAGAGTTGCGGGTCTAAGGCTCAGAGTTCCCTAGGGCTCCAAGACAGGATAGATGGTCTAAGAAACTGCTCGGTTGCCTCATAATTCGCTTCTTAGGGTCCTCCTCTTAGGGATTCTGTCCTACCTGGGTTTCTTCGGGAGTCTAGCCTGATAACCCGAACTGGCAAAGGGGTTGGGGTGTAAGGTCGAAGGGCTTAGGAGCCAGGAGCTTAGGGTTAGCAGCTTAGGGGTAGTAATTCAGGGGTTCAGGAGTAGTGTTCATCAAAAATTGAGAATCACTGGAAAGACAAGGGAAGAGACATGCATACTGGGCTATATAGTGGTAAATAGAGTGCTTAGTGTAGGATCCTGTACGACCGCCAACATGATTGCCATATGAGCTATAGTCTAAACTCCTTAAAAGGGGTTAGATAGGGATCTATCTATCTATTTATTTATGTATGTATATATGGGGAACTACTATGGGAGTTGTTCAGGAGAATAGTAATAGTAGTTTAGACCATAGCTCATATAGGGTTTAGGTTTTAGGGCCGCAGAGCTCACAAACCTGAAAGCCTTCTTTCAACAAATTTGACCCCCACACTAAACCCTGAACACTAATCCCTACCTCGAAATCCCTAAACCCGAAAATTCAACTCCATAGACCCCAATCCCTAAACTCTACATTACCCCAAGGTGTGGGATCCTTCTTGTATGCTTGTCTGGGTTTAGGGTTTGGGGTTCGGGGATTGGTGGGTTAAGGGATAAGGGTTTGAGGTTTAGGGTCTAGGGTTTGGGGTTTAGGGTTTCCAGCTATAGGCTTCATAGAAAACATTCTTTTTTTGCTTCAGAGAGAAATAGGGACCACCTAGCGCGTGAGGTTCATGAGGATTAAGGCTTTAGGGGTTTGGGGGAAAAAGTTTCAACATGTGGCTTTCGGGGCTTAAGATTTAGGATGTAGGGTTTAGGGCTTAGGGCTAAAGGGTTTATAAGATTAAGGCTCAAGATTTTTGCCGGCTTGTAGTGGTTGAGGATGCAGGTATTGACATTTATATGAGCTGTACTCTAAACTCCTTAAGTTGGGTAATATGAGGGACCACAAATTAAGGGGATACTAGCAGTGCAGAAAGCATCAGGAATTGGAAGTCTTGAGGGCTGCTATCCCTTTACTATCTTCCTTCTCCCCCATTTTCCTACTTGGAGGGTCAGGGGAACTTAGTAAGTAGGTTAATAACCTCTACAACCCATATAGTAACCTTGAATATCCCCACTATTAACCTACTTACTAAGTCCCCCTGACCCTGCAAGTAGGTTCCTACACATTCCATTACTCATTCAGGAGGCTCCCGGAACACAGTTTGCTCTGATGGTGGGAAGCTGGAATCTTCCCCTCGGCAGTCTGCAACATCATCTAGCCTGGGTTGAGGAACAGGGTTAGGGTTTAGGGTGTTTGGAAACAGCGTAGGCAAGACGACATTCCTAACGACTGGCTTCCTAATGTTTTGCACATATACCCTCTGTAGATCAGAATTCCGCTGCTTTCGTTGGCCGCAGCCTCCTTGGCCGGGCTCGAGACGGTCT